GCCAAAAGGCAAAAAGAAAAACCCAATACGAGGCAAAATGAGTATATGTGTGTATGTATAAATAGTGTACTGTTGTTGCTGCGATTACTCAAGGAGAGCGCGTATGCATTTGTATACACAGGAGGTCAAATATACATACTTAGAAGCAGTTAGAAGTGTTTAGAGTGGCCAGATTACCCTTAAAAATTTATAATACATATGTATGTATAAAATTAATACAGAAAGGCCTCTAAATCATTACTAAAAATCTGTTATTTATGCAGACATCCTCAACCGAATCGAATACCTACTATTCACATACATAAAAATTTTATGTAAAAATAATACAGAAAGGCCTCTAAATCATTACTAAAAATCTGTCATTTATGCAGACATACTCAACCGAATCGAAACCTACTATTCACATACATAAAAATTTTATGTAAAACTTTGGGATAGTGTGATATCCTCAGGTAACGCTGTGAAACCAGAATAAATCTGTTCATCGAAAGGCTTCACACTCCTGACTGTTGCTTCAATGTTAAAGTCAAGTCTAAGACTATTTAAACAATCTACTAGACCTACACCGTCGAAAAAAGTAACGTTTTCTACAGAATTTATACGTTCAATATACTTTTCTGTCGCTGCTACTGCGATGTCGTCCGAAAAACCTACCATTCGGCTAGTCTTAGAAGTCCGTCTTAAAATCAAATGACGTCACCTTTCCTGAAAGGAAATTGGTTAGCAGACAATGCATATTTTTTATGTACATTATTTATTACAGTATTTCGAAATTATATCCTCCTAGATTTTACCAGTTAAATTTAACAGGCAAATAGATGTTAAACGTACTACATACTTTTGTATACATATAAACAAATCTCCCGAGTTGAAAAAATTTTTCGACAAAACGTGTTTTTGGTCGAAAAGTGTACTACACCTATTTTAGAAAACGCATTATCTTCAGTTTTGTATAAAGAATAAGATTCCATCGCGAAATTGTATTTAAATGGAAACTTATAAAATATATACTAAAGTTAAAAATAACCACTCATGCTCATACATTTGCCCGTAGTTGCGTATGTAACGTATACGCCCCATAGCACCATACGCGGTCATCTAACACCTTTACTCGGCATTTTAAGGCTAAAACTGTTCAAATACTTGATTTATTTTTTATTGTACTTGTTTCTGGAAGTCCATTGATCGAAATAAATACAAGAAGAATGCTTTAGCGTTTTTGTTTCTGCCGAGGGAAGGGAATAACACAAAAAAAAACTACTCGCGAGATTTGCTCATATCCTGACGGCCGGCACTTAGTACTTTTCCCCTCGCTTTACTGGTTAGAACAATTTTAGCGCTTCAAACTCGAGCGCCTTTGTGAAGAAAAAATGGTTTCCACAATCATTTTCAAGATCTCGTAGCTCGTTCGCGCCATACTTTGTAATGCATTGCGAGCCATTTTATAGACCACCCGACATTGTGCGAAGTTTGTTGCCTCCTTTAGCTCCATCTTGACCTAAAGCATACTCTTCTACGGGTTGGGCTCTCCTCAATCTAGCAGTGCACAGTTTGCTCACGTTAAAAGAACAGTAATGTATAAGGGTTGCCACCTGTTTAAAAATAAGTTTCAATTTTAATTAAGATATTTGAAATACGTATCACCCAAAGGGCGCCAGACGAAACAGGTTTAAGGGGTTGAAAATATTTGGCAGAGGGTTGCCACATGTTTTAAGAGTTGAATTTAGCTAACTTACACACAACTTATATGAAATATTAAAATTTGGGGGTCAAACAAACGAGTGTTAAGAAATCTTTAGTTTGAACATATACAAATTTGTGAGTGGCTTAAGAGGGTTGCCACCTGTTGAAAAAGTTATGTTCGAATTATTTAATAAGTCTAATGAATTATTAAAAGCGAAGGGGGGTTTAAAAGAATTTATTTATGAACTGTGTGTAGGAGAGCTGCCACGTATTTAAAAAAATCAAATTCAATTTAATTCAGCAGTTAATTGCAATAAGTATCACAATGGCAGAGACAAAAGAGATTTGAAAATATTTAGGTTTGAAAATACTTTTAAAGAGGGTTGCCACCTGTTTGAAAAGTCGAATTTATTTAACTTATGCACAAGCTAAATTAAATGTTAAAATATGAGTTTTAAGAAAATATCTGTCAACAGCATTTTTTGTGAAGGTCAGCAGATCTGCATCGTTGATTCGAGTTAAAAAAAAAGAGATGTCATTATGGGCCGGCAGATGTGTAATTAGATTTTATTATTTGAAGCTATAATTTTTTTAGCGGTGCAGCGTGATTTAAATTTTGATTAAATTAAGTACCGACACCACGCGAGAGCTCCCTTCACTCAGAAACGGATTTACGGATTTAGATGAAATATTGGGATTTTTTTTTAGCTTTTCGTACAAGGCTGCCACCTGTTTATAAATTTAAATTCAATGTTGGCGTTTTAACGCAATGCGGGTTCACTAGTTTAATTTGGTGTTGCATGTTGTTACATGCACCTGCTATTGTTTTGGAGATTTTTGGCGATGAAAATTTGCGATAGCGACTTCAGACAGTTGGCCACTTTAAAACTTACTGGCATTTTGAGAGAGTTTGCCATTTGTTAGTTGGTATGTATGTATATAATAAACCCTCTTTTTAGTTAATTTTTTCTTGTGTGCCTTGGACAAATTTTCACTGCAATTCGTATTGTGGAACGAAACAAGCCGACTGCGCCGACTAGCAAGCTACTAGAGTGTTAATTTTTCTGATCCGGCTTTGGGTTTCATTTGCATAAATCTGTTTGCAATTTCAAATGAAGTCGGGGGCTCTGTTATAGTTTTTATTACATCGATTCGGTCTCTTGTTCTTATTGATTGTTGTTGTCCCTATCAATTTTGAAATGTACTCGCATGTAATTTGCTTCATAAAATTTAGTAAATTATCTCACACACACACATAAATTCATTAACTTATCTCAACTCATTCTGGATTTTTGCTCGTTACCGTTTTCCATATTCTCCGTAGTGTTTGTGGAAATTACTCGACTATCGCGTGTATACAAATTGCAGTGGGAGAGCGCGCCAGACTAGAATTGCATATATGCTCGGTATGCGGGTTTGTTTGCACCTTATTGTTTTTGCTCTCTCAGAGCGTTACTTCGGCTGCCCAAACCGGGAATACTAGCAAAAGTGGCACATTTTTGGTGACACACTATCGCATCGTATCACTCGTATTGTCGCTGCTTTATACATTTTCTTGTATTGTATGGGTGTATTTTAATTAATATTTGGTTGTTTTTATTTTTGCTGCATCGATGTATGCGAGTAATGTATGTATGTAGGTACGTACGAGGAGCACGCAACGTGTTACACGTTTTTATATTTCCATAAGTATATATGTATCTATGTATTTAGTATGTACACTTAACAGCCAAAGTTTGCGTACACCATATCCTTTTTAAATATTCACAATATTTTGCAAGCAATTTTTTTTATTTTTTTTATAAAAATGTCGCTCATGCTTAAAACGGAATCAAATAAAACAGGGTTTGAAGCTATATACAAAATTAAGGAAATTTCAACGAATTTTCTCAAAATAAAAAAAGTTCCACTCATACTCTGTAGGGAGAAAAATGTGTTGGACCATCAGAAAAAAAAATCAACGCGATTTCTTAGCCACTTAATTTTTACACATTATTATACTAAAATTGAATGGGCTATGAAACTACGTACTTGAATTTTTATTTTTATAACCGAGCGCACTTGTGCACAAGGGTATTATAACTTTGTTCACATAACGGTTGTTTGTCACAGGCAAAACGAATCGAGAGAGATATAGACAGACGTATACATAAATGATTAGAATGAGAAGAGAAATCGATTAAGCGATTAAGTCCGTCCGTATGTGCACACGATAACTCGAGCAAAAATTGAGATATCTTAACGAAACTTGGTACGTGCACTTCCTTCAGGCGTAGGACGGACGGTATTGAAAATGAGAAAAATCGGACAATAACCATGCTTACTTCCCATATAACGGTAATTTTCAGAAATACGAAAACTGCGATATTTTAGTAACTACTGAAGATTATTCACTCAAAATTGATATTTACAATAATTTATAGACGAAAAGTAAAATGGGCGTAGCCACACCCACTTATGTGTATATCTTTGTAACCTCTGCACCAATGTCTTGCAAACTTGGCCCAGTACCAAATGGCCGAAAATTTTTAAAATCGGACAATAACCACGTCCACATCTCATATAACGGTAATTTAGAGAAATACGAAATCTTCGATAAATCAGTAAATATTAAAGCTAATTTATTCAAAATTAATTCTTGCAACAATTCCTTACCAAGAAATATGTTTATGATAAAATTTTGGAAAATGGGCGTGGCACCGCCGACTTTTGATCACATATACATATACGTATATCTGTAACCGTTCCACCCATTTGTACCAAACTCGGTATGGTTATTGTGCTTTCCACATAAAAACAAAACGTTGAAAATTATTGAAATCGGACTAAAATTACGGGCGCTTTTCATATAACGGTAAATTTCAGAAATGCTTGAAACTTCAATATTTCGAAATTTAAGGACGCTAATTTACTCAAAATTGATACACTCCGGCTTACCATGTAGCGGTAAAGGTGAAAATCATATATTTAATACTTGCGCCAGGTATTCAATGTTCGGCTCCGCCCGTACTTAGACTTTCTTGAGTACTTGTTTTTTTTTTATCTGATTAAAAATTTGAAAATTTTGATGAAATTCGTTGCATTTTCCTTAATTTTGTATAAAGCTTGAAACCTTGCTTTATATGATTTTGTTTTAAGCATGATCCATATTCTTAGAAGAAAATCACAAACAAATTTTGGCTTGCAAAATATTGTGAATATTTAAAAAAAGAAATGGTGTACGCCGACTTTTGCTGTTTAGTGTGTGTGTGTATTTCTTGCTGCGGTGACTGGCACAATGCTGCTGAGATATGTAATTGTTGTTGATTTGCCGCAAAAGTGAATTTTTGTTGTTGTTTTGCTGCTATCTCATTACTCTTTCGAACTGTGATTATGGTTGCTTGCTATCGCCTCACCACACCCCACCACACTCCTATCACTAATATCAGCGTCAACCAGCAATAGCGGCGGCATCGCTGTTAACGTCGCTGTCACTGTTATGCGCCTCGGCTCCGGCATTCGATCTGGTGTTCGTTGGCGCATCGTAATTTGTTTTGTGCCTTTCAACCAGACGGATGATTTTTTCGCTAACTACAACGTGCAGTAGCGTATTGTTTTTTCCTTATTGTTACATTGTTCAAAGTACAACAAATTATAATTTGATATTTTATGTGGAATGTGAATCCATATGTAATTGACAATACGAATAGTATACATATATCGTTGTTGTTTATTGTTTGTGCCTCGTCAGTGGGTAGTGAACTTTGCAAAAATTGCTACATAGCTCCTTTATCTCCATTTAACATATGTGCATACATATGCATTTATAATAAAAATACTTAATTTTGATAATTGCATATAGGTTTTGGTTAAAAAATTGAACAGTGAAACGAAAAGGCTGCGAAAATTTTCCACCCACATTGGTGGTTTGTGAAAAAAGCGACAGTGACCGAGCAGAGAGGCAGCGCAGCTGTTGGCAGCGGCACTGTGAAAGCGAGAAAAACAGCAAGCAAATGAGCGAACAATTTTAAAGAAATTGCAGTGCAGAAAGTGTGCGATATGCAAAAATCGAAAAAAAGGAAAGGAAAATCGTCATAAAATTGTAGCTATTGCCAAAACTAACTTAAAAGTACGCGCAGCGTAACAACAATAGTGAAGAGGTGACAAATCAGCAATGAGGTCTTGCCAGCAATTTGCTGCAAATGAAACTGACATTTAATTAAATTTGACATTCATTTGTGCTAATATTGTTGAAATAAACAAAAACAAACTGTCTAAAAGTTATATCGCGCGCTTTGATTGTGAAAAAATTCTTACATATATTTAAACGAGTGCAAAAACACTTAAAGTATACTATTACTAAAAAAAATGTACACACATTTACGCACACTTATAAAGACTACAACTATTTATATTAATTCGGTATAACAAACAAACAAATCGGCAAGTGCAGCCAACCAACAACCAGTAGTGTGACTCGCTAACTCTCGCATCTACTCAACTGCAAACTCATTGACCGCATACCGAGTAACCAACAACCACTATCTACTGTGTGGAGCGTAGTCTGCCGCGTCGAATAACCGAATACACGATTGTTTTTAAAGTGTGTGAACCACACAACCCTATGGCCCCTATATACATACATATTTAGCTAGTAGCGGCCCATCAGAGCGGCATATCAGTGGGAGGCTTGTATGAGTGAGTGACCGACCGTTTGAAAAACGAGTAGGAGCATCACGATTCAGCAATATTGTGTGTGTGTGTGTGCTTTCTTGAAAAGGAAGGAAGCGGAGGAGACGCTGGAGGCGGTTAGCTAGCCGCGTCACTGATTGAACATTTAGAGAGGCGGCGAAGAAGCCAGCAACAACAACATTGACTACAATTTTTATGTGAGTGTGTATGCTGAATTTTAATGCAAATTACTATACGTATAGTAGAAGTTTAAAACAGATTAACTGATTAAATTTAGAGAAAAATGGCATTTAGAGAAAAGCAAAGCTTACAACTTTTTTGTACGCCTTTATAATTTGTGAATTTCCAATATTAGTAATTAAGTAACTGAGTGCTTCTTTACGCGTCTACATAGTTGCCTCTTGTCTGTTTTAATTTTATTTTTAATTTTTTGTTTACTCCTGCGCAAAGCTGTAGAACATGTCATATTTAATACATATGTATGTAAGTAGGTACTGGCTTTATAAAGCCATTGTGAATCACTCAAAGTTGGGGTTTTCAAAGCCTTCGGCGCGCGTAGATTTTAAAAACAAGGTCGTAAACTAACAGTTTTAGGTGTACATAAATAATTTTTTAATAAACTAAGTTGATGTATTTTTTTGGTAAGAATATAATTATTTTACTGTTTTTTAAGTGTAATTTTTTAGCTCACATCTTTCTGTACCTTTTAGGTTTGCAAAATGAAAAATTGTGTATCTAAGCTTCTGTCCCTTTGTCTGCCAGGTCACTCAGCCACCCTTTTATTGTGCCTTCCACGTGTCATTTTTCAGTTCTTAGTTCATAAATGGGTACATACATATGTACATATGTAGATATGCATTTATGTATGTACATATGTAGATATGAATACATGTACATACATACATATGTGCATATTTTATGTATTCATTAGATACACACAAAACATACAAACAAATGAGCCATCGATGTTTGGAGAAGATTTCTAGAAATCAATAAAAAAAATTTCAAAAATTACTTCATAAGTGGTTAAACCCAGTTAATTAATATTGAATAAAAACCCTGCAAAAAATGCGACTTGTCCGGGATGACTTGCGAGACTAATACCACTGTTCATCTTCTAATATCGATACGGCTGTTCCCGTTTGCTCGTGTATATGTACATACATAGTCTATGAATAGACAAATACCTAATTGTATTGCAATTTGCATTCGAACTGACACGGAAAAAGACAAGTCGTTTAAAAAAATAAAAATAAAATAACAAAAAATAAATAAAAAATTAAAAAATAAATATTTAACAAAAAATATCAATAATATAATAAAAGCGTAAAATAACAAAAAAAAAAAATAAAAAAAAGATTTTAATTAAAATTAACAAACGATTTCTCCAACTGTACGCGAGAGGTTGAAAAACAATTACTCTCCAGTTGAATCCTCAAGGGATGAGTCAGATCCAAAATAATTTGCACTTGTACTTGTAAAGCAATATTGCTGTCTAGAATGCAAAAGGCGTATTTTCATGCCATTTCGATCTACTTGCCGTGGAAAATGAGTTGTATCTACTTACATATGTATGTAAGTCCTAGATTGCTTTGTAAAATCATTTGAATTCTTAATAGATTCGTTAGTCGTGGAATTCACAAGGTCTCGGCTTTCGCCCATGAAATGCTTTACATTTTCTTTACTAACTTTTAGTCGACGACTAGGTCTAGTTCTTTCATAAAGAAGTCGCATTCTTGCCGCATGTTTACCTAGAGGGCAGTACCCAGTTAAGGTTGTTGCTGTTTTGAAAACTTGTTCTTGATCTATTAAACAGATCTGAGAGCTTTTCGCTCAGAACCATAGATATCAGCAAGTCTGACCACCTTATCTATTTACATACATTAGGGTAGTCCAAAAATGCGTGTGAAAGAGTAAAGTCGGAATTATTATGCTCTCACATTTTAGGATTGTTCTATACCGAAAAATAAATACCTATTTTTTATTTTGAAATTAAAAAAAAATATATTTAGCGGTCGCTCAAAGCGCTCAAAGTTTTCCATGTATTTTATATAAGGAAAAAACATATTTTAATAGAAATGGTATAGCAGAATTACAATCAATACTTTTCGATCGGAGAACCCTGTTTCTCTTTAGGAGATTTCCAGTAATGAAAACCTTTAACCATTTTTTTTAAAGCTTAATTAAAAATCTTTTCGAGCTGATGCATAGCAATCACAGACAACTTTAAACGTCTTACAATTCACGACAATATGACACCTTGTGAATCACCCAACTGTCTCCATTATCTACTTTTATCCATTGTTTTTGGTTGGGGATTTTGGAAAAGACCTATTTCAAATTCACGAAAATCATACATCCGAAATAAAATAAATCAAATTATGAAAAAAAAATTAATTTTTTCAGAGAACATTTTATTCAATAATTGTATTGAGCTTGCGGCGTGAGAAAATTATAAATTTTTTGTTCAAATAATTTAATCTGATATTTCAGGATATTTTATTGTCATGGAAGGGGTGGAATGGATAACCGTACGAAAAAAATGGTGTTTTAGATTCTTTAAAAAAAAATTTGGGTTTTAAATTTTTTATTGAAATTCACAAAATCGTTTTTACATAAAAAAAAAATCCCGAAGAACGTTTATATCGCCAAGAGGTTATTATTGATTTTGATTATTCAAAATGCATCTCGGTTGAAATTTTCTGTAACACATGAAGAAAAATAATAATTATTAAAGGAGTTAATATATAGGGATGGTACGTATACACATATGTATGTGTTTAACTTAGACCGTACCAACTTACATATAAGCAAATTAAAAAAACTTACCCGTACACCCCTGAGTCTTTAGAATTTTGCAAGACAATTAAAACTTTTTTCATTTTGGCTGAACCTAGGGATGGCCTCTTAACATTTCTCGGTGACACCTACATTCTGCAAATACATACAGTTTTTTTTAATATTTCTACTTGAATAATCGAAATTCTTCCTTACCAAACGTTTAATGACTTTTGGTGAGCTTTAATTTACTGAAATTAGGGTAGTACGTTAGGGTTATAAGAACCCGGATCTGGTGGGTATCTAAGTACTGGAATAGGGAAATTGACCTAAATAAACTTTGGGACAAATAAAAAATGTCTCTTGCAGACAAAAAAAGTACTTCAAGATTCGAATGTAAAAACCGATGATATGACCCTAATTTAAACAGCAAAACCCTACATTCAGAAAATTTTTGTTTTTAATTCCCTTCCAAACGCATTTTATACACAAGGGGTGTACGGCTTGTTTTTTCTGGTGCGGTCTAGTGTACATTTTGCTGTATACTTTTCTGCAGCAACACGTAAGTATACAGAGAAAAAATGTGTCATCGTTTATACAGGCGACTTCTCGCGTTCTACATATGTACACATGTAACCATGTGTATGTGTGCTAAGTTTATAAATACATATATACTTATGTACATATGTATGCAATTTAATATCTACTATTCCAGTATTTTGTTACTTTTATCTAAATTTTTATGTGCATCAAATTCACCGTCGCCTACGTCACTGCATCGCCACCTCCCCCCTACGAAGCAACACATTACTACAGTTGTGTGTTATATGAATGCATGTTTGTTCATACAAAAATGTTTCTAGGCGTTTTGTATGTGCTTGAATATGAACAATCGTGTAGTATGTACTCGCATTTGCATTCGCTTTTGCTTTCGCCGCTCAAATTCGTATGCGCATTTTGGTCACATTTAATTGAGGCACTTGGTGACCGGGCCGCGCGTCGTTGACTTTAGAGTGCCTTGAGTTTTAGGATGATTTGCATTTAAATAGAATTTATCTAAATTCTTTCAACATACCTACATAATTTGAAGCGCGTATAGCGTATTTATTTTGGACATTTTTTGTTTCGTATAAACTGAATTAACTCATCAGACATGCTTTCTACGTTTAACAGCAGGAAATTCAAATTAATTTAAATACCAGACAAAAATTATACACTACACTTCTTGTGTTCATACCCGCATTTAGTATTTAATTTGAAAATAAGTTTAGTACGTACTTTGCTTTTTTTGTGTTGCATATATTTTTTCTTTTTATGTTTCAAGCTGGTACTTGAAACGATTACTTTCATCTCAGTTGTTATTTTTTAACTTTTATGCATGTAAACTTCGTGCATCAGCACTCATTACTCTTTCGTATTCATCGTTTGTCTACTCGCCAGCACGTCAGTTCGGTGTTAAGCAAAAATTCGTTCCTTTTATTTTTGCACTTCAGCTAATGGCTCTACGCTTACGAACTGTGTACTTTATTGACTGCCTCCCTTTTTTCTTTACTCTCCACAAATTTTTACATACATAGACACTGGCACTGTTATTTATTTATTTATTTTAATTTTAATTTTGCCTTATATAAATCTTGATCGCGCTCTTCGGCGCTGCCAATCATCATCGCTTGATTGGTTAAAAGTGTCAATGCTTGTGTGCATGTGTGTGGTGTATTGCCTTTGTTTGTTTTGCTTTTTGCTCTATCCATGACAGTTGCTTGTCACATTTTGTTGACAATGACTGTATGGAATTGTTTATTGTTAAGAGTTGCTAAGCGTAGTTAAGTTCATAAGCGCTTATTAATGAAGTAGCAATTTCTTAGAGCTAATGTTTTATTAATTGAATTTTAATCATGAATAACTGCTTAATTGAATTAATGATTGGAATATAATGAAAATATCAATTTTACTTGAATAGCATTTTCTAAAAAAAAAAAAAATTATGAAATAAAAAGCAATAACATGAAAAATAGAAATATAGAAAATTAACAAAAATGTAGAAAATAAATAAAAATATAAAAGATAAACAAAAATTTTTAAAAATAAAAATTAACAAAGAGTTAAAATAAATAAAAAAAGTAAAAAATTAATAAAATAAAAGATAAATAAAAAATATAAAAATAAAAATAATAAAAATGTGCAAAATGAATAAAAATATAAAAATATCAAAATTAAAAGATAAGCATAAATTTTACAAATTAATCAAAATACAAAAGATAAATAAAAATATAAAATTTAATTTGGTAAAATCTAAAAGTGCATGCACGTTAGTACATACTTGTACATACATATGTATGTATTAATACACATACATGCAAACATTTATGTACTACGTGTACCTATGTTTAGTACATATTTAATTTCAACTTCCTCTGGA